AGGCAGGGATCGGGCAGTGGAAGCCAGTTGGGCTCAGGGCTGAGGTCTACCAATTCCCCCTCCCTGCTTCTCCCCAAGCCTTTGCTGCAGCTTCTCTGGAGACGAGGTGATTTTTTTCCCCTGCTGATTCAGCTCCTGGAGAAAAATGCCCTGGCTGCCTGTGGTGGCTGAGCCATGCCAGGTGACTCAGAGCATATCTAGGGAGAAGCAGCCTGAGCTGGTCAGGGAGCCTGCAAACCTCCTCTCTGGCAAACTGAGCAAAGACAAGAGCCCAGGACAGTCTGTGCTGGAAAGGGGAGCCTTGCTGGTTCTTGGACCTGTCTCCTGCTGCAGCTGGTACCTTGGGCCTTTGGGTACACAAGGGCTGGGGGAAGCACCACTGCTGCCAGCAGGGACTTGCACTGGGGCTGCATCATGCAGCCGAAAACCAGGATCAACATCGATATATTTGAACCTCAGTTCAAAATCCCCTCTTCACAGGAACCCCAGGCTTTCCAAGCATGTGGCTCAGAGCTGGCTGTTAACAGCTCCGTACAGCAGCCTGGGGTCATTTTGGGGAAGAGAAGTTTCACTAGATCCAGAGAGATGAGACGACTTTGGGCTGGACTCAGGAGGTGCTTGTCTCTCCTGGGGCTGGGGGAGCCCAGCACTTCTGGAGAGGTGACTGGGGAAAGGTGAGGGGAGCAAGAAGAAAGCAGGGGGACATGTGGACCCAAGGGAGTGGCAGTGTGGCGAGCCAGTATTTTGGGGTTGCATCTTTAAGGTGTATTAGTGAATTCCTCATCCCAAAGGGAGGGAAAGGGAACCCAGCTTAGAGGAGACCTGGACATGGGGAGCCCCATGCACTGCAGTGCACTGGCTGTGCTGCTGCCCTGCCCCATTACTACCTCCAGTCTCTCCCATCACCCTGAGCTATTAAACTATGTGAAAAAATCAACAGTACTGTGGTTCTCCCATCTTCTTCAGCCCAGCACTGTTCAGTCTGGCATCTCCCGCATCCCTACCCCAACCTGAGCACAGACCCAGCAATGGGACCTTGTTTAGGGCTGCTGGCCCAAACCTCAGGCATTGGGGATACACATAAGAATTATTCCCAGTGTCTTTCCCTCTACCCATCTCCTCCCAGTGCAACACAACCCACAAGCTGGCCAGTTACCAGAGAGATGGGGCAGATCCTGCCCTGTTCACAGCCCCTTCTCCTTACCATGTCTCAGCTCAGCTGTTGCCTTGCTGTGCTTCTCTGTGCCTGGCTCCCAGCTTGGCTTTCACTAAGTATTGGGGTCATGCACAGCGTATTAACATGCTTAGCCTTCACCCACGACATGGTTAAGCTGTATTCCCAGCCCCATCTGAGTGGGAGCAACCAAAATCAGGCAAACAAAGGAAGAGATGGAACTTTGCAAAAAGAAAAACACCTTTATTTTTAAACTCTCTTTAAAAATGTATTTGTAAAAGTTTACAACATAAAAATAATATCTCACGGCTATAGATGTGACATAGTACAAATCCTACAAATACATCTGTAAACCTAGGAAAATGTTAACTCTTTGGTACCTTAGTCTGAACTCTGTTCTTTCCTTTGCCCTCAGGTTTCAGACAGACAGCATAGAGGCAGGTGCTGCTTCTTTTCAGAGTAACAGCATGATGCCAGCAAGCCAGCACAGTTGGAGGGGGAGAGAGCAGAGGGCACACTTTGGGCAAGCTTTGCAGTTCTGGTGCAATCCATGAAGGAGGAAAGGACAGGAAAGATGGGATGCTGAAGGCCTCCCAGCACGAGCTGGCTTCCCTGCCTCCTCCCACCCCTGCAAGAGCCATCTCTTCAAAGTGCCGCTGGAGCTACACTGCTACAGTTCCCCTGCCTTTGCCAAAGTCAACTGGATCCATCTTGGCATGTCCCAGAGACTTCAGTCCTCTGGATGAAACCTGGGAATTATGCTGGGATCCCAGCCGCTGACGTGTTGGCCCATGAAAACTGCTTTTTTAACAATACCCGGCCTGCCCTTGGCAAGTCCTGCAGACAACATGGTACCTTCACCATTAGTCAGCACTGGATGCTCAGCATCCAGGCAGGCTGGGATCTGCTGCAGGCAGGACCTGTGCATGGCCCAGGAGCTGCCTCCTGCCCAGTGAGGACCTGCAGCTTCCCTGGCGGCTCTCTGCCTGTGCAACACCCGGGGCAAAGGCTGCCAAAGGGCAACCTTCATGTTCTCCAAGTGGGAGCGCAGCCAGGCTGTGTCCAGGCTCCCTGGGGCTGGCTCGGCAGCCCACTGCTCTCCTGTCTGTGTGGGAGATCCTGTGGTTTGTATTATGAACTGGCCACACCGATCCTGGGACACTGAGCCCGACCAGAGCTCTTCCTCACGCCTGTGCATTGGAGCATGGGGTTTGCCTCCTTAACACATTAGCTGACATCTCATTTTAGAAAAAGTCCCCCAAAAGAGACTTCTGTGAAATCCCCTTCTGCAGATCTGCACAGCTTTACACAGGCAGACCTTGGGTTTCCCCACAGCCAAAACCTAACCCCACTGCCCAGTACCCTGTATGTGTGGTGCTGTCTCTCCCCCAGCCCAGAGCCCTGACTGGAAAGAAGGGGAAGAGCCGTTTCTCACTCCTGGCTGACTTCCTCCTGGCTGCACATCTGCAGTGCTCTTGTGCCTTCCATCCCCGTGGGACTCCACCACAGTCCTCTTGGCAGGTGAACAGAGACAATTTAGTTAAAAGTAAAGTCCGCTGTGCTCTAGATTTCTTAACACGACACAAACAAACACTAAACGTGACACTCTTGCTTAAAAAAATAATAACACGCTCAAATCGAGGACAAAAGGATTAAAACTTGTGCACACATCAGTCTGAGAAGCAATCTTAAATGTGGAAAGAGACACCGGAGTGTCACATTTTTTTCTGGGATACAGTTAGGTATGTATGAAATAGTGACTGGCAGTAGGATTATGCATATACTGGTGCTGATAACGATGTAACAGCTGTAGAGTAAAATATAATCTACAAATAAAAGATATTGCACTAGAGGTGGGCCCAAGCTGTGGCGTATGTCCCTTTTTGGGGACCTCAGTTTGGGTCCACCTCTAAACACAAGAACACACCCAAACAAAAATACTGATCATTGAAACTAAGAACCCAGAGGGACTGGTTCCCTTCAGAGTCTCACCAGACAAATTACATCTACAAAACTGATGGGCCCAGAACAGCCAACCATTTCTCCTGGCCCTCACCCGATGGGCCATGCAGGGGCTGGAATGTTGGCAGCAGAGAGAGAGGGAGCGGGAGGCTGGAGCTGGCTCCTCAAGCAGAGAGAGCTTGATTTGGGGGCTGCTGTAAGCCTCAGCCCTGCCAAGCCCTCTTTTTGAGGAGAGTTGCAGGGATGCTTAGCAAAACATGTTGGTTTTGCCCAGCTGCCAGCCTGTCCCAGGCTGAGAAGATCTTCTTGCTGCAGCGGGTGTGCATGCCATTGCTAAATGGTGATGGGAATAGTTGAGTAAGGACAGGAAAGTACCACAAAGTGCAAGACTTGGCCCTTGCAGTCACAGGGCCAAAGACAAATATTTGGTCATATCTCTGGAGCGGAGAATGGTACCATTTTGCAAAGAGTCTGGTGTAGCTGCTTGAAGAAGCAAGAGTGAGGTGGGGTTAGCACCCTGTCAGTAGCCAGAACAGGTTTTGATGCAAAGAATAATTGCAGTAAATCTACAAAAGGGACAAAATGCAGTAGGCATCCAAGTGTACCTGAGTTTCCCCAGCAGGAAGAAGAAATAGATCTCCTCTTTCAGGACTGTGGAAACTATTTGATAGTGGGAAATTAGTCATTTAATTATTACTTAATCTGTACAAGATGGAGTTTAGTATGGGATTTGTGAAGTAAATAAGCAAATGGCCAAAGGGAGGGTGAGAAGGGGTTAATTGATGGGGAAATCTTTGGGCTGGACAGAGGTAGTAAAAGTAGCTCTCTAGGGTTGCTCCTGATGCTAGAAGTATTTAATATTTTTATTAGTCAGTCCAGCCCAAAAATAACAGTTTGTTAATAAAATGTACTGATGACCCAATGTCTGGAACAGTGGGGAGTATCTTGGTTATAAATGCTGGAAGAGTAGAAAGACGTAGGTGCTTAGACTGGTCAGAGGATGACTCCAAACTGCCAGTATGTTGTGGCTGGGAAAAGGCCAACATTATCCAAAGTTACACCAGGCAAGTAAAATCCAGTGCAGACTAGAACTATTAATGCCCTACGCAAGGTCTACATTTGACCTCACCTGGAGTACTGGGTACTTTTGGTCACCTTTGATAGAGAAGGACAAATTAAAAATGGAGCTGGTGCAGACAGGGGCTATTAGGATGATCTGATGTGCCATCCTATAGGCTCAAGTTGCAGTGACACAAATCCTACCAAGCACCTTACATGTTAGAAAAATAAAGTGGTCTGACCCCAAAGATCTCATAAGTTACTGTTTCTCCGCGGTTAGGATTATTTAATGAACTGTGGCCACAGAAGATGGCTCCTTCGTTACAAGCAGGAGGAACAGAGCATGGAAAAACAGTTGTCATTCACAGTGAGTTTCCTATGGATGGTGGGGAATCTGACCACATGGGCTGAAAATATACTCCACTGGCTGCCAATAAAAGTGCTATTTCTTATGTTCACATTTTACCAAGGACATCAGCCCACAAAACACCTACTCCTCTTTTAGCTGCATAAATGGCAGCATTGCAACGATAGACAACTTAAAACAGAAGCTGTTTTGCTGGGGATTTCTGGAAGAAGTTTCATATTTTGAAAAAAAAAAATTCTCAGTGGATCTGAGGTGGCAGAAGTCCAGCAAGATGCTACTTGAATTTCTGAATTTGTAAACCTGCCTGTGCAGATTTTGTGGGATGCACAGAGATGTGCATGAGTAGGGCAATGAAGGAGTTAATGG